AAATACAGAGCCAACTGGTGAATTTTGTTCAGCCTGCACAGTACATATTTTAGGGGGGGCAAGCAGGCTCAAGTTCAGCCGCTGACAACAGGACCTTGCTCATGATCAGTTTCCACTTGGCCCCTGAAGTTGTTTGTGGCCCCTTTACTTTAAAGTCGTGTCTGGTACATTCTAGGTCCATGCAAGTGGTCCAATTCCCCAGATGACCAGAGGCAAATATCGCTCATGCAGACGCATGCACAGGGACATGTGCTGAGAGGGTATACATGTGTGTCTATATCATTTCCAGCCAGAGGACCCTGACGGCCCACAGGCGCTTTCCCTTCCACCCCCAAACACACCCACTCACAGACGGGGGAGCTGAGGGAGGAGAGGGAGTAACTTGAGCCCCTGTTCTGCAGGAGAATCCGAGGGGCTGGCACATTCCATAGCAAAAATAACCAATGGGCAACGGGCGTGAGTGACGGGACAGCTGGGCTGAGCAGAGAGGCCTGTGGGATTCTGTGTTCCTGCTCTGGGCCTGCTCAGCTCACCCCCACAAGGTTGACCTGGGGCATACTTGCAGGGTAGATTCAATATTGCCCCATTTTTCCTCCATGGCTGTACTGCTGTGCCCACCCTTCTTCCACCCCATCATTTCCCAAACCCAGACTTCTCATTTCTGCTCTGCCAGCATTTCCCCTGCCAGAGAAAACCCTGTCACCAGGCCCTGCCGTCGCCTCCCTTTGACTCTTCTTTCAGGCCTAGATTCAGTTTCTCCTTTCTCTTCTTTCACTTACCCTGAGTTTGAAATCTCTGTAAGCTCTGTATTTCTAGCATACTATGTAATTTTTGCTTATTTGTTATGTTTATTGAATGCTGTCTAATCTCTAGGAGGACAGGAGTTTGGGGCTTTGTCCCCTCCCCACACTCATGGATCCTGAGAACAGGAACGGACACATAGTAGCCACTGGATAAACATGGCAGCGATGGCAGAGCTGGAGGTGGAGAGGACAAGAGGTGGTGGGGATGTGGATAGTAAATCTTCCTGCAGCAGGGGCTCATTCATCCAGCCTTCCTCCCTTCTCTGTCCTGACCCAGACCCTTTGCAAGAAATGGTTGGAGAAGTTACCATCTCACATTTCACTCAGGTTCTGCTTGGGAGGATCTGCCTTGCTTCAGGCTGGTTTCCGGGTCTCTCTGCTCTTCTCTTTCTTCTCCTGGAGCTCCTCTCTGGTCCCTCCTCCTCTCCTGATTAGGACCTGGCATGAATGGATGGAGACACTCTCCATACCTCTCCCCAACTCCATACTAGTTCCCTCCTGGCCTCTTATCCAGACATTCCAAATTCCAGGTGAAAAAGAGGACAACTGCAGAATATACTTCAATGCAGCTCTGGTGTATTCCCTGCCTTTCCCTTGTCTACACTGGCCCTTTCTCACTGACTGATGTGGCTCAGTGATTGAGCACCGATCTATGAACCAGAAGGTTATGTTTTGATTCTTGGTCAAGTCACATGCTCAGGTTGTGGGCTCCATCTGCAGTGGGGGATGTACAGGAGGCAACCAATCAATGATTATCTCTCATCATTGATGTTTCTAGCTCTCTATCCCTTTCCCTTCCTCTCTCTAAAGTCAATTTTTTAAAAACATATTTAAAAAATAAAGTAAGTAAACTGACCGTTTTTCCCTGTCCCTCACCTCTCCTTTCCATGCTTTCAAATCCCCTACCTCCTGCATGGTTCACTACCATCTGTTGACCTTTGGCCCTTCTGATTGACACTGGTTTCTTGGCTATGAAATTTCCAACTGGACAGTGAACATCACCAGATCCTCCTTACCACCGCCCTTTAGTGCAGGCCTTCCCTTCCAGCCACATGCCCCAAGCTTTGAGGGTGGCACTTACTCTGGTCACTTGATTTGCACGTGCAGATGGGAACCTGATGTTTTGAAGGAGAAGACTGCCTGCCTATCTTGGAGATGGGCCAGGAGATGACTTTGGGATATTGACAGAGAATGGTTACGATGACAGATCCTTGCTTTAGTCTCCCCATGCTTCTCTTTCTGAGGACAGGAAATGTGGACCTAGAGCCAGAGACCTGGCTTTCAGATCTGGCTCTGCCACCTCACTAGCCATGTGAGCTTGGGTAAATTCCCTCTATAAATCCATTTTCTTATATGTGTAATAACAACAGTAACCTGGGCTAAGGAATAAAAAATGAAATGAGATAAGGTGCTATCCACATGTTAAGGAGTCTATATTTCCACCATCTTCTCTGTTCCTATTTTTTCCTCATTCCTATGCCCTAAATCCCAACCTTCAGTTTCTCATCTTTCAAACTTTCCATCCTTCAACCCACTTGTCTTCTCAAGGGCCCAGCCTCCCCAAGCCATGCAATGTCCTTCCATGCTTCAGGCTTCAGGAGTGCCAAGAACCTCATCTTGCTGAGCCAGACAACAGATCCAGCCAGGAAACTGCCTCCTTCCCTCTGCATCCAGGTCCTGGCTGGGCTTCCTCGAGATTCCTGAAGTCCTCCCACTGTTGATCCTAACCAAGAACGTTTTCCATGAGTAAGTCTGAACAATGTTGAGCTGCTTGCCCAGCTGCCCCTGGGCAGGGACTGGTGGGGGTGAGGCAGGCAACAGGAAGAGTAAGAAGCCAGACTCACCTAGTCAGTCCCCAACATCACCAAAGCAGAGCCCCTCCCTCCCCCAAAGCATGTGGGAGGGGTGTAGTAGTTAAGCACATGGTTCTTCTTCTATGTGAAACAAACTAAGGCTTTCATCCCTGCTCTGCCACCTGCTATCTGTATAGCAGTACATGTCACTTAATCCCTTCGTGCCTCAGTGTCCCCAGGGCTGCGTGGGATTTAAGTGATATGTCAAAGGATATGACAGCATATTGCCTGCCACACAGCAGCATAGTAGCTATTCATATTATTACAAGTTACTATTAAGAATTATTACCAATTAATATTAATTATAATGCTGCTCTTGGGCTAAAGTTTTCACAGCTGGGAAAAGTTCTCAAATGTGACTTGCTGCAGTCCAACCTTCTTCCTGTTTAACATGACTGTCAAAAGGCCCCAAGTCCAGTGCCACTGCCCCCAGGTTCCTTTCCTCTCCCACATGCTGTTCCAACAGAACAGCCTGGAGACCATCCCCCTGGCCGCCATCTAGATATGCCAGCCAGAGCTCACTCTGCTGGCCATGCCCCCCAGATGACAGAGAGGTTGAAAAGACGACCCTGCCCCAAGGAAAGGGGCTCTAGTACCCTATCACTCTGCCTACTTTGGGGGACCAGGGCACGCTAGGAGGCTCTCATCTTCAAGACCAGGCCTGAGTTACTTTCTATACAATGGACAGCTCCCCTCGCTTACTCTCTCCTTCCTCTAGAACTCCTGGAGCAGTAAAAAGCTTCCAGAGAGAAAGCCTGGGTTCTTAATTCAGGGCAGCCATAATTAGCTGTATGTCTTTGGGCAGAACTCCCTCTGCTCTGGACAACAGTGTCCGCACCTGTAAAAGGAGGCGTCTGGAGCTTCAGTTCCTTGTGGTTCTTTCCAGCTCTAAACAAACTTTGTGACCACCAAGCTCCTCAGCACTTCCTTTCCCTGAGCTGCAGTCTCATCACTCTATCTACCAAGCTCTTTGATTTATGTTCTATTTCCAATCCCCTTCTGGGGCCAGAGCTAAGCTCCCCAAGGAGTCCGCTCCTTCCCCAGCTCATTCACTGGGATGAGCCCCATTCTCTAACTCCAGACTGGGAAAGCCTGTACCTGGCCAAGTACAAGGCCAATCAAGAGGAGCCAGCCTTGGCCCTCTCTGCCTCACGCTTGACCACAGGAATCTCCAAGGAATCAGTCACTGAAGACAGTAGGAGGCTGGGCAGGGTGGAGCTAGGGAAAGAGAAGATGCTGACAGAGGGGGGGGGGGGGCCCTGCTCCATCACCTGCCATGGCTGCACCTTAGCACTTCCTTTCCCTCCAGCCTCTAAGGTTCTTCATCCCTATGCCTTCTCCTCAGCCCCCAAGGATGTATCCCTACATGACACCAACCAGCTGGACTGAGAATTCCATCTTGAAACTGCCCACACACACTCAGTGACCCCCCCACCCCCACCACACCCCCAAGCTCGTTGCCATTTCCCTAACTGCAGCCTATTTCCTCATAGTTCTGTTTCCTAAGACTCTGCCTTTGGCCTACAGAAGGCCAAAAAGGAAGTCTCAAGAAGGACCTAAGGAGAATGGGCCCTGGTCAGGCACACGCACCCATAGGACCCTGAGCACCAAGCCCGGCCTCAGACACTCTCCTTCATGGGACATCATGGGTCCTTCACACACAGGACTAGCACTCTACACAAGACAGGCAGGGCCCCGGGCACCTGCCTGAGCATTCCCTTTCCATGCTCTCCAGACCTCTGCCCATGGGCTTTCTACACCACTCCACAAACCTCTGTCCCTCATCTGCTTGTGCCACCAGACCCCTCCACACCCCACACATATGCACACAAGCACATGCTGACGAGTAGGTTCTCAGGCACATACCTCCGTACATGCCTGGGAGCCCCCAGACCCATCTCCTGTTGCCCTGGACCCCATTTATTCATACTCATCCACCCAATGGTCTCTTTTGGCCAGGCTGGCGCTGAGCATACCAACCTCCCCAGCAACAGACTGGGAGGAGCTCTGACCCATCACCTCAACACTGCAGTCGGACCAGGAGTGCACACACTTGTCAGGAGCTGATCAGGAGTCTTAAGTCTAAGTTACTGGAGCTGATGAAGAAGATTGTCTGCAGGTGGCCTCTCGCTACCAGGGAAACTAAGAGGGTGTCCACTGTGGAATTCCCAGAGGCCTGAGTGGGGCCCAGGCTTTGCTTACCCACTACTGACCCATAACCTGTGACCTCCCTGTGGGGAGCTTCTCTCCCTCGATACCCCTTTCCCTGCACTTTCCTCTTAGTGGGCACTTCTGGGTCAGTGCAGCCGAGGCGCCAAAGCTCCTGGGAAGAAATCTGGATGAATCATCCACGTGGCCCTGGCAGGCCTGGACCTCTGATCACCCAGCCAGCCCCTAGCTCCCCATTACCTCCGACCTCCAGCACTGTGACCAGGGCCTCGCAGCAGGCCTGGCCCCGCTCGTTCTGCGCCCTGCAGCTGTACTTGCCGGCGTCCTGCGCCCCGCAGTTCCGCAGCCACAGGCAGCTGGGCTCGGGGGCTGGCGGGGGCAGGAGCTGCCCATCTCGGAACCAGCTGAGGCTGGGCTGGGGCGTTCCGCTCACCACCACCCGCAGCCGCACGTCGCAGCCCACAAACACCGCGGCGTCCTTTAGGGGCCGAAGGAAGACTGGCGCCCCGGCCGCGGGCCCTCCACCGGCCGCGGCCCCTCCGCCGGCCCCCACCTTGGCCCTCTTCGGAGGCACCCCGGGGCTAGGGGGTGCCCTGGTGCCCGCCTCCTCGCCTCGCAGGCCCCGCGATTTCTGCATGGCCTCTGTGAGCTGGGCTGGGGGGTGCTGGAGCCCACGGCCACGGGGGGCGCCCGGGGGACGGTGCCTGGAAGATGAGTCCTGGGGGGCCGGCTCCCTGCCTTCCTGCTGCCCGCCCGCCTTCAGCCTGCGCTACCCAGAAGGTCACCGGGGCGGCCTGCTGGCAATTGCTCCTCGGGGGCTATTTTTAGGGCCCCCGGCTCCAGTTTCGAGGGAGCTGTGGAGGGAGGGGGCAGCAGAGGAGGGGACTTGGGCTCCACTCCGCTCCCTCCCTCCCTCCAGGTGGCCCCGGACCCTCCACCAAGTTTAACCGAGTTCCAGCCCCTTCCCCCATGGTGTGTCTGAGAGCAAGCCCACTCCTGAGGAGTCGGGTTACCCTTGGGCTCGATCCCATTGCTCGATCCCATTTCCCTTCCTCCCTCCTCGCGGGCCCCTGATTCCCAGCTGGGAGAGGGACAGGAGGTCTTGGGTGAGGTGTCTGAGCAGCAGATGGGAAGGAAGGCCCCTCGAAGGGGGGCAGACAGCCAGAGAAGAGGGACCAGAGGCCTCCGCAGCCTCCATGACAGCGTGGTAAACAGCAAGACCAGGAGCAGGGAGCCAGGTGGATTCTGGCTCCCAGCGGGTCCTGCCTGTGCTTGCTGGGTGACATCCAGCCTCTCCCATCCTCCAAGTCCTTCCTCATCTGTAAAAATGGGTAGTTGAATGGGTTAGCAATAGGCAGAGAAGAGAGGGAAGGACATTCTAGGTGGAAGGAATGGCATGGCTGAGATCAGCACATGGTGAAAGCAGATGATGTGTTTTAGGAATCAGAGGAGTTTGGAAGGATTGAACTGCAGTGGGGAGGGTGAGTGGAGGTGGGAAGTGGGACCTGACCCAGGGAGCTTTGCTTGCTAAAAGTCAGTCTCCTGATGACAGTTGGGTGTCACTGCAGGGTGCTAAACAGCAGGATAGCTGGTCAGAGCTGTAGAAGGATCCCCCTGGCAGCCAGAGTGTGGAGGGTGGATTGGAGGTGGGAGAGTTGGAGGCCAGTTAGAGCAGTGGCTCTCAAAATAGGCATCTGTGAAAAGTAGAGAATCAAGCTCCACCTCCAGAGATGCGGGTTCAGCACACAACTGAGAGTTTTGTGCTGGAACAGTTTTATATCTTGACTGTGGTGGTGGTCACATGGATCTACACATGATAAAATTGCATAGAACGAAATGCATGCACCTGTGTGCATGCACACACACACACACACAAATCATATATATATAAAATATATATAAACCTGGTAAAATCTGAAGAAGGTGGGTGAACTATATCCATGGCAATTTCCTGGTTCTGATAATGAGTTATAGTTATGCAAGATGTTACCATTGGGGGAAACCAGATGAAGGGCATACAGGTTACCTCTGTATTGTTTTTCTATGTTGTAACCACATGTGAGTTTACAATTTTCTCAAAATAATTTTTTTTAAGTCCAGGTGGGAAGCCCAGGGATAAGCCTGGGAAGGCAGAGGGGAATGACAGGAGGAGCACTGAGTCATTTGCAAATAGAGAGAAATACTCTCAATGTCGCCCCATTATCCCACTTCTTCATTCTGAGACCAAAGTCAAAGTGTGCTTGTGTGTGTGTGTTCATGGAAAGGGAAAAGAAGGAACAATTTAAATAGTGAATTTTGTCCATAGAGATTAAGAGCCTTGAGGAGCCGTAACCGGTTTGGCTCAGAGGATAGGCATTGCCTGCGGACTGAAAGGTCCCAGGTTCGATTCCGGTCAAGGGCATGTACCTTGGTTGTGAGCACATCCCCAGAAGGGAGTGTGCAGGAGACAGCTGATCAATGTTTCTCTCTCATCGATGTTTCTAACTCTCTATCCTTCTCCCTTCCTCTCTGTAAAAAATCAATAAAATATATTTTTTTAATAAAAAAATAAATAAAAGCTTTGAGGAATGAAAATTTTGTTGTTTGCATACATTAAAGCTTACTCTTTGAACTGTGCAGTTCTCGGGTTTTGAAAAATGCACAGAATCATGTAGCCACTACCCCAGGACCTTACAAAACAGTGATCATCCTAAATATTTGCCTGAACATCCCCTCTGTAGTCAAACATACCCTATGCACCAGCCCCTGGCAACCACTGATGATAAATTGAATTTTTAATGGTAAATTGAATTGTTAAAATGTAGAGCCAAGCCATTGCAAGCAGATGGAACATCAAGAACAAAGGACTAGAGACTGGTTTTTTAAATATATTTTTATTGATTTTTTACAGAGAGGAAGAGAGAGGGATAGAGAGTTAGAAACATCGATGAGAGAGTATCATCAATCAGCTGCCTCTTGCACACCTCCTACTGGAGATGTGCCCGCAACCAATGCACATGCCCTTGACCAGAATCGAACCTGGGACCTTTCAGTCCACAGACCGACACTCTATCCACTGAGCCAAACCGGTCTCGGCTAGAGACTGTTTTTAAAAACCAATAACCCAAAGCAACCTAGCACTGTGCCTCAATGATTTGTGTAGAATGCAGTAGATGGTCTGTAAATGTTGGCTGGCTGGTTGGTTGGTTGGTTGGTTAGTTGATTGAATTATGAACTGTGTGATCTTGACATCTCTAAGCCCCAGTTCTATAAAATGGGGGTGATCCAACTCAGGGTTTATTCATTCATTCAACTAATTCTTGAATTCCTACTATGTGCCTGGCACAGTTCTAGGCACTAGGAGTATAGCAGTGAAGAAAGCAGACAAGGGTTTCTGCCCCTATGTTGCTTATTTCTTCTTTATAAAGAAACTAGAGGCCTGATGCATGAAATTCATACAAGAGTAAGCTTCCTTCCCCCGCCTGCCGGCACCGGCTTCCCTCTGGCACCCCAGACCCTGGCTTCCCTCGCAGACCTATCTAATTGGCATATTACGCTTTCATTATTATAGATATTAAGATTTTTAGAAGAAGATAAGTGCTGTGGAAAAAATGGAACAGGGTATGGAGATAGGCATGTGGTAGGATGGTTAGAGCTTCGCTGGGTGAGGAAGCAAATGACACAGATGTCCAGGTAGGATTGCTCCAGGCAGAGGTGGCCTCCAAGAGGATCCGGGAGACCAGTGGGGCTGGACAGAGACATGAGGTCAGACAGCCTAGCATCTTGTAGGCCATGGCACTTTCATTCCTAGTGAACCAGAAAGTCAGCTCAGAGAATTGTGAGCTAAGGAATTACATGATCTGAGTTAGGTTGCTGTGATGGCTTTAAATTATTATATTAAATATTAACATGAATATTAACTATTTAAAAAGGGCCTGGCACATGGCTTGTGTGTCTCCTGTCCGAGTATTCACAAATATGGGCATGCATTGATGCGAAGGCAGAAGTGTGTGGACCTGGGGTGTGTGGGCCTGGGTTAGGGAAGGCACTGACCCGGTCCAGTCACTGGCGCCCTCTCCTGGAGGAGCCTGCACTGGCTGTGACAGCAAGAAGCCATCATACTGGGCAGGCCTGTCACCCAGGGCAGCTGTCTGCAAGGTGTTCATCTGTCCCTCAGAATGGGCCCCACAGTGCCCTGCGGCCTGGCGCCGGGCTGGGTGTGTGCTGCCAGTCTGCTCTGACTAGCAATCACAAGCCTGTGGTGTCATGGAAAGAGATCTGGGCTCCGGAGGCCAAGGAACCTGGGGCCCGGTCCTCCTCTGCTTGGGATATGGGCAGTTCACCCCACCTCTCTGGGCAGTGAGGAGCTTCCTCTTACTCCCAGTGATACGCCACGTACCCGGAACATGGCAAAAGCTCAGTAAATGTTGGTTGAATCGGTGAATGAAGTGAGGGCCGTGGGCCTTTCTGATAAATATTTAATTTATTAGAGAAAAGCAAATAAAAGTGCCTAGTGGGGATTCATTCAACAAGTACTTCAATATTTAATGAGCACCTTCTATGGACCAAGCACTCTTATGGGCACCAAGGATCTAGTTAGTGAATAAAAACCTTGCTCTTGGGTAGCTGACATTTTAGGTGTTGAACTGAAGGTCACTGATGTATTTGCATATGTGTCCTGGCCAAGCTTGTGGTGAGAGGAGGGTGAGCAAGCCGTGAATGGGTGTGATGCATTGTCTCAAGGGGCTGGGAGAGTAGCCAGAGTGGACAGACAGGGTCAGAGAGTGCCCACTGAGGCCTCAGTTTCTGGCTTAGGGATATAGTTGCCTCCATAGTCCTTCCTACTCCTCTGGAACTGGTCCCATGGCTCTAGTGGGAAGCTGTCAGTCTTCTGTGAGCCCTCTTATTTCTCAGTGTCTGGAATTTAAAGGAGACGATGCTAAGTGCCCCCAAAGATCTTCTTTGGTTTATTTTTGTCCATTCTCTAGGAGCACCGCACCTGTCTCCCCAACCCCTAACTTCTGGTGTCAGTGTCCAGCTCCCAAGACGGCAGACAAAGCCAAGGGCTCAGAACCGGAACTACTAGTCCCAGCAGGGCTCTGCTCAGAGAATGCGTCCCTACTGTGGGACACAGGGTGAGTCTGGGTCTCCTCTCTTCTCTGAGGATAGGTGAGTGGTCATCACAGGACACAGATGTGAGCTGAGAAGGATGTGTGCAGAGCTGTACCGGCTGGAAGGGGCCACCATAGAGGCAGGGAGGTCTCTGGCACAGAGACTTCCAAGCAGAGCTTGATGATTACTCATCAAGGCAGCGGAGCAAGGCTGGGGAGGGATTTCATCAGAGTGGGGATCATTGCCTTTGAGGTCTGACTCTGAGTCTAGGATTCCTACTCTCCCTCCACCATGGGAACTAGTCCACAGCTAAGCTTTTCTTTGGAGGATGAGGCTGCCTCTCAGACCTTCCCTGACTTATGTGGCCCTTTGTGCTTTGAGGAGTAGATGAATGCACATCACTCATTCAAGGGAAAGAAGGCACCTAGAGGCTCCAGAAAGTACTCACAGATACATACATCACCTCTTATCCACCGGGGCCCAGTCTCCCCCAGGTGTTTCTCTCACAGAGACTAGCTTAGAGTCCAGGGTCCCCAGCAGGCACAAGGATAAGAAACCCCTCACGGATCCCTCCTCCCCTATTCCAGTGTGAAGACCCAAGAAATGCCATTTCTAATTTTACTTGGAGCTCTGCTACAGGTTGATAGGGGTAATTCAGGTGCCTGCAGGGCTTACCCCATTGGAGCACTGGGGGAAAGCAGTGGCCATGGGTTGATAGTGGACAGTGGCTGAGGGTGGTGACCAGGGTGCAGCCCCAGATGTTCCTAGCGCAAAGGTGAAGAAACACCAGGAAGCCCTGTGCACTGAAAGGTAGTTGGTTCCCATTCCAATCGGGGCACATACCCAGCTTTTGAGTTCCATTCCTGGTTGGGGAGAATATGAAAGGCAGATGATCAATGTTTCTCTCTCATGTCAATGTTTATCTGTCTCCCTTCCTCTTTCTAAGCATGTCCTCAGGTGAAGATTTTAAAAAAGGAAGAAAAGAAAAGAAAGCCCTAGCCGTTTGGCTTAGTAAAGAGAGCGTCCGCCTGCAGACTGCAGGTTCCCAGGTTTGATTCCCATCAAGGGCACATGGCTGGGTTGCAGGCTCAATCCCCAGGAGGGAGTGTGCAGGAGACAGCGATCAATGATTCTCTCTCGTCATTGATGTTTCTGTCTTTCTCCCTCTCCCTGCCTCTATGAAATCAATAAAAATACATCTTAAAAGGAGGGGAAAGGGGCCTTCATAGAGAGAGAGACTACAGCCTAGAGGGGAAGGAGCAACTTGTAAGGGAGGAGTGCACCCAAAGAAGGGAGAAAGATGCAGAAAGGCTTTTGGAAGTTTCGGGGGGGGGGGGGGGGGAGACCCACCCCTTAGGAACAACAGATGAGGCATCTTAAGACTAAAACCCTATTAGGTTTATTTCCCCTACAGACCATCTGAATTTATTGTTTGTGATCTCTACCCTCCTCCCATCTCTAAAGGCTAATCTCTCAATCTATGAGGAGTGTCAGGAAGGCTGTGACCCACATGAATCCATCAAGCTTCCTAAATCATTGATCCACCCCGGAATTTATTTTTTGGAAGGAATGAAAAAAGTGAAAGCCTTCATCCTGTCCTCTGCGGCTACCCAATTGCCCCTGTGCCACCCATCAGCATAAATGTTTTATTCCACAATTTCCTAATTTTCTTTTCATATGTCCTATGTTCCTCTCCCATCTTCCCAAATTCTCCCCAAATTTCCCTTTAGTGTTAGAGATAGCACTGCATTAAAACGATAAGTTAATGGAGGATGAGTGGGCAGCTTTAGAGTATTTCTTCTTCTCCAAGAACAAGAAAAAGCATTTTATTTTCCTTATCATGGTTGTTTTTCCTGAATTGGCCCTTGTGCATAAAGGTGCTCAGGTGGGTGTCATGGAAAGGAACTGGGGAGGAGCCTTACTTCAGAGCCAGTCTGTGGGGAACCGTGGTGACCTTCAACAGGTGCAGCCGTGGTGTTCCTGAGCCCTGATGATCTGAAGGGGGCAGGAGGCCCAGAATTGGGCCCTAATAGGAGGCATTTGTGGTTCCCCAACAAACGCCCCGTTCAGCTCCCGCCCCCATATGCTACACACCAACGACAAGGCAGGGAAGCTCTAGGAGCAGAAGAGCTGACAGGCCCCAGGGGACAGTCTGGCTGGGCAGGAAGGCAGCACAGTCCTTCAGGAGAAGCAGTTTGTCAGGGCCAGGGGGGGGAGGGGGGGCAGGAAGGAGGGGGCTCCGAGAGGAGAGCTGGCAGTCAAAACAACAGGGGACGTGGTTGGCTTGTGCTTCTCTTTTTATTGTTTCTGTCCGGCCCCTGCAGTGGGGGAGGGGCAGGCACGGGAGGTGGGCACCCTGCCACCTTGCCTGAGACCGCTCTGCCTCTGTCCTCTCCTTTCCTCTCAGCATCTCGCCCACCCTCACTCCTTCTGAGTCTCCTGCTCCCACATCTGGCACCTTCGGGGGTTCCCTCTTGCAGCCCCTGCTTGCTAAGCCTACCCTGGGAACATAAGGGACTATGGGGCTAATTTAGTGCCCCCCCGCCCAAGTCTCCACAGAGACTAATCCCCCAATTGCCTGCCTGGCTTACTGAGGAGGCCCTTTCTCTCTCTGACCTGGGCTGGGGAGTGAAGAGGTCCACCCCATGGGTCCCAACACCCTGCTGGGGTGAGGGGCCCTCTCCAAAGCCAGAGGCTAGAGCCTGAGGTCGCGGAGGGGGGAGGGGCAGGGTCACTGCTCTGTCTTGGCTCCATTCAGGCCCTGCCCAGCACACCCACGGGCGGCCAAGAGCCAGGCGCGCTCACTTCCAACATCCAGGACTCTTACTACTGCTGGGGGCTCCCTGTGCCGGGCAGGGACGGGCCATGTCCCCTGTGGGGACCATGAGGGGTGGTGAGCGAGGGTCAGAGGCTGTGAGGGGAGACTGTGGCTGGGTGTGGTGCCCTTCGATGGAAGGCGGCTGGCTTCTGGAGGCAGTGAGGACAGGGGCGAGGGCGGTCTCTGGTGGCAGAGGGGTCTCCGGCTTTAGAGCACCTCGTGCTGCTGCTGTGTGGCCTCGCTGACGACCTGGGGAGGAAGAGAAAGACGGTCCAATCCAGTGCTGGCGGGAGAAGGGAGCCCGGCCCCCATTCCAGAACTGCAGCCCGGCCCCCATTCCTCTCCCCTCAGACAGGGACTCAGACAAGCACAGCTGGCAGAGAGAGCCTGGCTGACAGCTTCCCAGACACACCCCGTGGCCCCCACCCGCAAAGGGACGGGGCAGACTGCTCACCTCCCCGTCCCGGGTCTCAATGGTCTTGATCATCACTGTCTTCTTGGTATGGACTTCGGAACCCCTTTGTTCAGGGCTTGTTTCTGTAACAGACCAGCCACATGCTCAGCCTGACCAGGCTGCTCCAGACCAGGCTGCTCCAGGGGCTGGGAATCCACTCCCGGTTCCATGGGGCGGAGGGAAGACTCCCACCCCTTCTATATGGACCTGGTACTTTTTCAGCGGGACTTTTATCACTTGTCCTTGAGCCCAGTGAGTGGCTCTGGGGACCCCAGGGTTAGTCCCAGGGTTGAGATGGGATCGGGAACCAACAGATGTGCTCCAGAAGTGGACTGGTTCAGGCAGGCAGGACCCCTGAGGCCCAGGCCACCCAGCACTTCCATTCCCCATACATCTTGCTCCTCTCCACCCTTGGGCCGCAGGAGAGCCCTGTGTGGATTTGTACCCTGACAGTTGGAACCCAAAACCCAGTCCCAAGGTATTCTCTTAGATGTCCTCATGGTACCCAGCCCCCTTCAAGGCTCCGGATGAGTAACTTGATGTCTTAATGAAAGAGAGACGGACAGGAGTCGGCCACTGATTCGTTGTTGGTGGCCAGTGACTTGCTCTCTGTGCCTCAGTTTCCTCATTGTGAAATGGTAACAATGACTCTTGCCCTATCATGGTCACAGGACTATTAATTTCAAAAAAGCAAGAAGCAGATTTAAATGTAAGGCTCACACTTGCTATCTGTATAAGCGACTAACTAAAAGGAGAGGTTCTGAGTTTCATAGTAAGGGTCAAGTTTAGGTCCTTGGTACTGAGTCTGGTGTTCATGAATCTTCTTAGCAAGCAAGCAATCAGCCTTTGATGAGCATTGTAACTCCGTGGAACCAGCATGTATTTTTCCCTGATGGAAATGAACATCGAAGATATAAAAGATTTGATCTAGGAAAGGCAAAGCTGCCAAGGACTCTGACTTCCTTTGCTAATGTATCATTATAGTGTGTTTTTCTGTTCTCCAGGGTTGGAAAGCCATGTGATCTGCATATTGCTAATGGCAGAATGGCACAATGCCCTAGCAGCTACTTTTTCTCATTGTTTGGCTTTGCTACGGTTTGGCTTCTTTGTTATATACCTAATCCAACATCTTGTTCCAGCAAACTGGAGGTGTCCAATAAGCAGCGGAGAGGGTAGGGGTGGGAGAGGTGGCACTTGGCAATTTGCCAGAAAATGGGTGGTTGGTGCCTTATAGCCAGGGAGTGTGGTCTTAGATGCTTCTGCTGCCAGGCCCCTAAGGACACCCCTGGTTCCTTCAGAGTTTGGGTGTATCAGGAAAAAGAAGTTGTTTGCTGATGCTCAATATTTCCAGAAGGTTCAGGGGACATGGTCAATACAATATCATCCTATATAATAAAAGCCCAGCCACCAAGTGGTGGAACGACTAAAATGACCAGTGGAGCAGTTGCTATGATGTGAACTGACCACCAGGGGGCAGAAGCTCAATGCAGGAGCTGCCCCCTGGTGGTCAGTACACTACCACAGTGGGAGCGCCACTTGGCTGACCAGGATGAGCGGCTGCTCCCACTTCGAACCCCAGGCCCACAGGCAGGAATCCAGGCTGTGATCATCACCTCCTCCTGGCTCCCTATCACCCACCCCTCCTATCCCCCCCAAATGCCCACAGTCCACGGGGCTCTCAGAGCTGGCCCCGGAGGCTGGTAGGCAGGTTTGTGGTCGCTGCAGGACTAGACTAAGGCCTACTCTGCTGCCTCTCAGTGCTATTGTCCCTGGGCCCACCCCAACTGGGTCCCCTGGAGCAGCAAGTGCTCTGGCTCCACAGAAGATGCTGGACCAGGGAGCAGCCGCTCAGAGGGCGAGTCCACAGCCACTCCACTGACCAGGAGGAGCAGCAGCCCTCCACCGTGGGCTGATTCCCTCAGGCCACCTCCGCCCCGCTAGTGCATAAATTCTGTGCGCTGGGCCTCTAGTGAGATAATAAAATGGAATGATCTCTTTGTCAGAAAATCCCCTATCCAACCCTCCTCTCTCCGTCCCCCTACTCCCCGGCAGCAGCCCCCTTTCTCTTCTCCAAACCCCAGTCCTGTCCCCACAGTTCCATCCTCCCCTCCTGGCTGGCCTTGAGCACTACCCATGCTGGATTCCTGCTCTCCACCACCCAGGCCTCCACTTGCTAACATACACTCACCTCGAAAGTTGAGGGCAGAGAAGGTCTGGATAGGAAGATTGATCCTGAAAGGAGAGAGAGATCAAATCCCAAAGGGTTAGGACCCTCGCTCTCTCCCTGTGACCACCTATCAAGTTTGCCCTGGTCCTCTCTAAACACCATCCTCAGCTGTCCCAGTCCCAGGAACCCCAGCACTCCCTCTGCCATACTGCCCAGGGCATAGGGTCAAAGGCCAACTTTAGCTGTCCCAGGAACTGTCCCTTTAGGAGAGATCACCCATTCCATCTCTGACCTGCTGGCATGACACCAATACCCCCAATCCTGCTGTACTGTCCAGTTCACCAGGATTCCCTTCTTGCTCTTGACATGGCAGGAAGTATGGATAGCAGATCTGGGGGACAGCCAGGGTGGAAACCTCTGGCCTATGCACATGTGAGGCCAAGTTCCAGGCCTCCTTTAGCTACCTTAAAAGGTCATTATAGCCCTAGCCGGTTTGGCTTAGTGGATAGGACGGGTCCCGTGTTCAATTTCAGGCTCGATCCTTCGTGAGTGGCGTGCAAGAGACAAACAATCAGTGATTCTCTCTCATCATTGATATTTCTATCTCTCTCTCCCTCTCCCTTCCTCTCTGAAACCAATAACAATTATATATTTTTTAAAAGTCATTATATATAGGTGTTACTCTACGAAACCTGAAATGTGTAAGTCTCCATCTAAACATGTCTGCTGAGTTCTAAAAACTCCCAATATTATCATTTTTATGAGTATCAATGGACATCATTTCTTTGAGTTAATGACCTGTTTTAAATTGAAGTTAAGTTTACATACAGTGAAATGCACAGATCTTTAGTGTGCAATCCAGTGAGTTTTGATCAGTGTTTAATTGCAAGTCTAAATAAAGGTAGAATATTTCCTCCACCCCAGCAGGTGATCTCATATTCCCTTCCAATTGTGTGCTGTGTTCTGTGTCTAGAGGAGAATTGACATGTCTGAGCTTGTCATTCTGGTCTTTTCCTATAAGCACATGTATGTATTTATGCATGTGTGTATATGCACATCTGTGCCCTCAGTATACAACTCTGCACCCTTTCTTCTAGCTTGTCTTTCCTTTATCTGCCCCTCCCTTTCCTACCTCATCATTCCCCACTTTACTCTCATCTCTCCCTTGACTGGCAGTAATATTTTATTACCGTTTGCTGAACATGGTTTTATACTGCTGGTTCTTAATTCTGAAGGTAGAAGAGGGAATAGTTACATTTCTCTTTTTATCAAAGCTATTAATTAAATCACTTTTACTCAGGTGGCCTTGGTTAATTCTCTGCTATTAGTGGAGTGGTGGCCTCTTGTATAAAATTGTTTCCAGGTCTTGTTGAGGTGATCCTGAGCCCCCATCATGGCAGAAATGGGGGCCCTAGCACCCCCCAGGACCTCACTGCCAGCCCTGCCTTGCCCCTTACCGGCTCTCCTCGCCCTCCAGCAGCTTCCGGTAGGTGGCGATCTCCACATCCAGGGCCATCTTGACATTGAGCAGGTCTTGGTATTCACGGAGATGGCGGGCCATCTCATCCTTGAGGTGACGGATCTCTTCCTCTAAGCGAGCGATGTTGTCCTGGTAGCCGCTGGCCTCACTAGCAAAGCGATCCTCCAGCTCCCGCATCTGCCTCATCAGGGAATCATTCTGCAGGGGAGGGGTGCCCAAGTCAAGGTCAGGTTGTTTTAAATGGGGGGACCCGTGGGTCCAGGATGGGGGGAAAACAGCCTCAGGGCTGGGAGACACTCCAGATAGTCAAGCCCAAGAGTTGTCAAATTCTCCTGAGCCAGGGAACCCTGACCTCAAGTGAAGTAGAAACTCAGACAATAGAACTGACAAAGGGCAGCATCGATGTTCAGCCTCTGCACCCCCACACAGGAACCTCATGATTTCCTGAGAGCCCAACTGGCAATCACCTGTTCTTACCACTGTGGTGGATTTGAGAGGACAGGCCCAGAGAGGACATGTGATGGGCCTGAAGTCACAGAGTGAAGGTGGGAGCTATAGGTAGAAAGGGCCTGGCCAGGCAAGGTGGCAGGGACTCACAGTGCCTTTGAGGGCATCGATCTCGCAGGTATAGGACTGGATCTGGTGCCGGTATTCCATCATCTCCTGCTTGGCCTGGCGCAGTGCATCATTGTTCTTGTTGGCCGCCTGGGTCAGGTCGGACACCTAAGGGCAGAGAGGGGCCCTGACATGAGGAGGATGCAGGATGCAGGTTGGGGATAGGCAAGGGAGCATAGAGGCCCTGGCTCACTCTCCTCCCCATGGATGGAGCCACAGGAAACACTTCCAAACTGGACTTGAGGGGGACATAGGGGTCAGGCTGCCTACCTTTGACTTGTACCACTCCTCAGCTTCAGAGATGTTCTTAGCTGCAATGGTCTCATACTGGGCCCGGATGTCCCTGAGGGCAGCAGTGAGGTCCGGCTTGGTCATGTCCATCTCCACATGGACCTGCTGTTCTTGAAGCTGGGCCTGTAGCTCTCGGATCTCCTGCAGGGAGCATCTGGGCGTCAGTCTCCTACCAGGCACCCTCACACCCCCATTTCCAGAGCCAAGTACCACAATCCCCCCCTTTCCACCTGCTTTCACCAGGGTCTAAGGACCCCGAGGAGGGGGCCCAGAGCATACCTCTTCGTGCACTTTCTTAAGGAATGCGATTTCCTCGTTGAGAGATTCGATCCTGCGCTCCAGGTCAATTCGAGCTAGAGTGGCGGCATCCACATCCTGGGAGAGGTCAAGCAAGAGGGACAGGGTCACTGATCACCCCGGCAGGGCAGAGGGAAACCAGGGGCCACACGTGGGGAGGGATGGGGGACAGAGAGGTAAGGATCCCGGGTGATCAATGAGGGCTCACCGATCGGAAGGCAGCCAAGTTGTTCTCTGCTTCTTCTTTCAGTTGAATTTCCTCTTGCAGTCTGGTGGGAACAGACAGACAGACAGACAGATAGATGATAGATAGTTGGTGGGGATAAAACTGCCCAGAGAGTGGGCTGAGAACAGAGAAAGGAGACCTGGCTGCTGGGTAGAAACAGGAGAGGCCCCACCCAGTGGGAGAGGGGACAAGAAGTGGCCCAATGTCTGCCCTAGAGCCACACCCTGGAAGTCTATGTCCCCATCAGATTGTGACCTCGCTGAGATTAGGAAGCCCGTCTATTTTATCCACCTCTATGTCCCTGGTTCCTAAGCCCCAGCTGAGGGTGCGATTAATATTTATGACCTGGGTGGCAGGGTGGTGACTGCTCAGTTGAGCTGTCAGAAGCAGGACCCATGAGCCTTGGTTCATACTTGTTGCCCTTTCCTACCGGGAGCCCAGTGGAGCCCACCACCCAGGCCTTCCAGCTTCCTTAAGCCCCTCCCCCCCTTCTTTCCTCTAGAATCTAGAGTCTAGATTATCTGTTCCCTTGGGAAATGGCACAGCCTCAGCTAGGCCCAGGGCCCAGCTCCCCACCGTATCCTTCTCCCTCCCCAGGGTCTCATCACAGATGAGCTGAGAGCTACTGCTTGGATTCCCCGCCCCCTGCCCTTCCCAGCTAGCCCCAGATTTCCTCCTCTCCTATCAAACCCCCTTTCCCTCTGCCTGAACCTGGGCCCCTCCTCCCTCCTCCACCCATCTGTCTGCCTGACCGCCAGCTACACCACCCCATCGTCTTAAGATGCTTCTTAAGGGGGCTGTCTACAGGGCCTTCCGAGGTGTCCCGTTTCCGCCCCATGATGTCCCCAAGAAAACCCTTTTGCAGAGGGGAGCGCAGGAGAGAGGCCTGGAGTCCCTCTGGCTCAGGGGACACAGGCAGATGACCTTCTCCCTGCAGGGCGCGCGGCCCGTGGGAAGGGGATTCCGGGAGCCCAGGGTGTTCTCTCACTTGGCCTTGAGCCGCTGCAGGTCGTCCAGCAGGTTGTCGCGCTCCAGGTCGACGCGGGAGCGCTGGTTAGTGAGCACCTCCACCTGGCGCCGCAGCTCGCGCAGCTCCTCCTCGTAGATCTCGGCCACCCGCGTGGGCTCGCGGCCCTTGAGCCGGTTCACCTCGGCGGCGAGCGCAGCGTTCTGCTGCTCCAGGAAGCGCACCTTCTCGATGTAGTTGGCGAAGCGGTCGTTGAGCTCCTGCAGCTCCACCTTCTCGTTGGTGCGCGTGGCCAGGAACTCCTGGTTCACGGCGTCGGCCAGCGAGAAGTCCAGCAGCTCGCCCGCGCCGTAGGAGGAGGAGGGCGCGCGGGCCGCCCCCAGCCGGCTGGCCCGCAGCCCGCCCAGGCCCCCCGCCCCGCCGGCCGTGCGGGACATCTGGTACACGCGGGATGTCATCGAGCTCGAGGAGCCCTTGGTGCCGAAGCCAGCGCGCGGGAACACGGGCGAGCCCAGCGGGGAGCCGAGCGAGAAGGCCGGGGCGCCGCCGAAGGTGCGGCGGTAGGAGGACACGCGCTGGCTGGAGGAGTAGGCCTGGCTCATCGTGGCGGCGCGGGCGAGGCTGGGAGGCGCAGAGGAGGCGGCGGGCAGGCGGCCGGCTGGAGAGTGGATTCCGGCAGGGGACACCGGGCCCCCAGCAGCCGGCACTATTTGTATCCCTCCTGACATCAGCCCCCGCCGCCCCTCCCCTGACAGCTGCAGGATCCGGCTGTCCTGCCAGGAAAGGGCGGCCACTGGCGAGGGGGCGGGGAACCCAGCTCCCCCGCAAGAGGCCTGTGGGGGGCTTGTAAGGGGTGTGAGAGAGGCTGATCCATCTAGGAGGGCAGAAGAACGGCTGGCCGGCCTGCCAACAGCCTCAGCAGGGCAGCAAGCACGCCGGAACCCCCAGGCAGGCCCCTTCAGCCTTTGGGTGCTGGCCTCATACTGGCGGCAGTCAGGGGAGAGAGCTGGAGAGAGGCTTCCATTTAGTTTGAGGGTCTCCTTTTTGCTCCAAGGTCATTGCTCCAAGAGACAGTGGGTCATTTCCGGAAGGGACACGGCCTGCTCTCAAGAAAGGCTCCACGTCACCATTTCCCCAAAGATTCTCTGGAAGTGGCAGGGGTTTAGGAGGGCTCAGGCAAAGACCACCAGCCAGACCTAGAGGAGGAGGGTCTCTGGGCAGCCTGAGAGGGTCAGAGAGCAATCATGGCCAGAGCTGTCCGCTGGCCCCTGGGTTCTAGCTCTGTGCCTCAGTTTCCTCCCAGACAGGTGTAGGCAGTGAATTTTCCTCCCCCACTTACTGATGAGGACATGGCCTCAAGTTTATAAACAGCAGAGTAATTTCCCAGAATGGTCTGGTGTGCTTTCAGTTTCCAATCTCACCCCCACACCACCAACTTCACCTGGCTTCTGCCCCCTTGTGTCCACTCCACCCCTCTCTGACTCAACCCCATACCCACCTCACCCACGCCCACGCACACCAGGGGTTTGTGTTTTGTCACGAGCCGCATGTCAACCCAGCCTTCTCCCTGACAGCAACAGCTGCCAACCCGAAATACCAGAGCCGGTATTTATAGAGGAGAATGCACGGGTCCGGTAAACAAGCGCACTGAAGAGAAGCTCTGGGAGCGGGGCCCAGATACCTGAGGAGGAGGCACGCGTGTCAGATGGTGGAGGAAGGCCCCACTCACTTCCCACCCCCATAATGTTCTAAGCCCCCAGCAGGAATGGAGCCCGGCAGAGGTCTTGCCCATCTGCAAGGCCCTGGCTGGCCCCACGGGACATGCCCACTTTTCCATGAGCACCGCTGTCTCTCCACACCTCCACCTGGCACTCCCTTAGGCCTGACCCTTTCGGAATGCAAATCCTGGAAATAGAGTTCTGGTCCTTCCCTAGGTCTGCCATCACCAGCAGAACCAATTACTGGCAGACAAGCCCTTTACTTCTCAGTGTCCTCCTTATAAAGAGAGAATACTAGCCTTGCCATGTTTACCCTATTCATGTTTGAAAGCCTCAGGTAACAATATACAATAATAATAATAATAATAATAATAATACCTTACATAGAGTGGCACGTACTCTATGCCACTCTGCTGAAGCAGTCTGACTCCAGAGCCCGTGCTTTGTCCCCAGGGTGGGTGTGAAAGTGTCTGGTGATCTTAAAGAGCTTTGTTACTGCTGTCTTTTCAAAGCCCTTTCACATTATGTGTCTAATTTTTACCCAAGAGACAAGCTTATGAGGTCGGTGGGGAGTTCCAGCTATTCTTATCCTTTCTTGGAGTCACTGCAAGCTGTTGCATTCTGGTTATTTTTGTGTCTCATCTCCCAAACTAGATTCTAGACTCCTGGAGAATTTTGGAGATCATGTGGGTTCTTAGTACATTCCAGGCAGCACTGTCCTTGTTGTAGTTCAAAGTAGCCTGTGAGCTTCCTTTCTCATTTCCTTATTTTGGTAACAAATGTCACACACACACACACACACACACACACACACACACACACACACCAGAAGTGAATAAGAGACTCAGCTCCCTGCCAGCTTTAGAACTGCAGCACTTTTACTATAGTGATTGGCTCAAAGGGTGGTGCTGGATTTGAGCAGGGCCAATCAGAGACCTTCCCTGGGATTTATAGATGGAACTGGGATTACTAAATTGGAGCCTGTGGCAACCATGCTTCCTACCTGCTGGGAAGGTCTTTCTGGAGGAAAAAGAGGTCAACAAGCAAGGAGAGGCAAAGACACCTGGAGAGAAGGAGAATTGCCAGGCAGGCAATCTCAAATTCTAGGCCCTGGCTTACTCAATTTCATGAGCTCTCTCAGTGTTCTTCCTTGCTTTGAGGCCAATAAACTTTTCCTACTTTTCAGTTAAGGAACTTGGTGTTGGCTTCTGTCACTTGTAGTCAGACAATCTTGACTAATCTACTGTTGGAAAGTGCACATCTCTTTCCACAATGCTGGAGATGACAAAACATTTGTGGGGCTCCTTTCTGAAAACAGTTTCCAGTTCACATAAGGAAATTGCCCTTCTACCCCGCACTGTCCACTCCTGTTCCCCATGTGCTACCAACCCCCTGAGCTGCCCCAGCAGGCAAGGGGTAAGTCAGCTTCATGTGTACGAGGAGGTGCAGGTCTGGCCCAGTCCACAGTTCTGCATGTCTATCCCCAGGACTCTGCAAGGCTAGAAAAGGAGAAAGAACCTATCCAGAATCCCTGCAGGACAGGAAAAGGAGGGCTGTCTCAGCAGGTAAAACTCTGCAGTCAAAATGACGGAAAGCTGGAAAGTGAGGGAAAGACTGAAGATGATATAGATACACAAGATGAAGAAAAGTCTATGAGGAAGAAAAGCCAGAAATGGAGGGGAAGCCAGAGCATGAGGAAAAGCACCAGTAGGAGGGACAGTGATGATGAGGGGAAACAATAAAAGCAGAGCAAGCCGGAAGGTGAGGAAAAAGCACAAGATAAGGGCAAGTCAGAACCCAGGCCAAGCCAGAGAGCTGGTCCTGGGCTGCCGAGGAGTGCCAGACTGAAGATTGTGTGCCCCAGAAAAATAAAGCCAAAAACGGACAGGGGGACAGATGATTCCCCCAACAACTATCAGTCAGACTTACAGGAAAGGCATTTGGGCAGTGAGGAGATGATGAGGAAATATGGAGACACCACAAGGGCTCAGGAAGAGCTAAGGGAAAAAAGAAAAGAAAACGGATGTTTTCATTGGATGCCAAGAGATGTACAGGATCCATTCCTACCTGGAGACTAATGGGGTGGAGGCAGCGGCCAAAGGGACTTACATGATATCCCATACCTTTAAAGCCTTTGGGCTTTAATTCTGATTCCTCTGGTAAGAATATTCCAACCATGTTTTCTCCGGTGGGCATTTGCCAGGTGATGTGTTTTCACCTTAAGCTGATAGTTTGCTTCAGGTGTCTGTCATTCTTGTCACCAGCAGCCTTTTTATCCATTTATACAGTGCTCTATATCAGTAGGGGATTTTCACCCATATGCATAGAAGAGATGTCACGGCACTTTGTAAAACAATAAAGGGAAAAGTTTACACACACACACACACACACACACACACACACACACACACAAAATTGTCCTTCTGACTATTCCAGTAGCTCAGCGTAATTGTGAAATGAGGCAGAAAGCAAATAAGTAAATAAATAAATCCACCTATTCTCTAGTAAAAATCAACATCTCTACCTTGGCTCTGAACCACTTGGGTCAGTTTCCAAAGTTAAGTTTCACCCTTGAGGATTTGTTACCATGGAGGGCAGCAAAACAACACTCCAAGGCTTGGACGACAGGTGAAAAAGGAGCACTCTGTTGAAGCAGCAATACGGCTGGGCTGGGTTTACTGGTAGCCTCCCCAGGAACCACGTAGAAGTGAATATACTAAAAAATAAAATAAAAACTTATTTGGATGGTTAATGTATCATCACAAAATGCAAGAGGCCCATTCTGTGGGTTTCCTTTTCATTCTATTGGTAGTATCCTTTGATGAACGCACGTTTTCAATGTTAATGAAGTCCAATTTATCTATTTTTTCTCTTATTGCCTGTGCTTTTGGTTTCATATTCAAGAAATCATTGCTAAATTCAATATCATAGCTTTTACCCCCTGTATTTTCTTCTAAGAGCTTTACAGTTTTATATCTTTGACCTATTTTGAGTTCATTTTTGTGTGCTGTATGAAGGTAAGGGTCCAACTTCATTCTTTCACAAATGAATATCCAAATTTTCCAGCATTTGTTGGAAAGACAGTCTTTCCCCATTGAATGGTTTGGACACCCCTGTTGAAAATCATTTAGCCATATATGTGAGAATTTATTTCAGGGTTCTCTATTCTATTCCATTGGTCTATTTATAATCTGTCCTTATGCCAGTACCATACTGTTTTGATTACTGTGTGTTTCCAGTGAGTTTTGAAATCAGGAAGTATGAATCCTCCAACTTGTTCTTCTTTGGCAAGATGTTTTGGCTACTCCAAGTCCCTTGAAATTCCATATGAGTTTTAGGATGTAATTTTCTATTTCTTCAAAAAACCTTTTGACAGGGATTATACTGAATCTGTAGATCACTTTGAGTAGTATTGATAGTTTAACAATATTAAATCTTTAGCCAAATCCGGTTTGGCTCAGTGGATAGAGCGTCAGCCTACGGACTGAAGGGTCCTGGGTTTGATTCTGGTCAAGGGCATGTGCATTGATTGTGGGCACATCCCCAGTGGGGGGTGTGCAGAAGGCAGCTGATCGATGATTCTCTCTCATCAATGTTTCTGGCTCTCTGTTCCTCTCCCTTTCTCTCTGTAGGAAATCAATAAAATATATTAAAAAAATATTAAATCTTTATTTAATAAACATGGAATTCCTTTCCATTTATTTCTGTCTTCTTTAATTTACTTCAGCAGTGGTTTGTAGTTTTTAATATATAAGTCTTTTATCTGCTTGGTTAAATTTATTCCAAAGTATTTTATTCTTTTTGATGCTACTGTAAATGATATTGATCATTGGGGGGCTTTCCTGCATTCTGTTATTGTGGTGCATTATCCTAATTGATTTTTC